CTCCCGTCCCCCGTCCCACCTCCTGCAGGGATTGATTTATGTCATTTCATCCTATTCCATCTGCAGAGGCTTTTATCATGTGGCCCAAGGGGCCAGCCCGGCTCTCTGTCCGTTTGGCAGAGGAAGGATTGTCCCGCTAGTGTTAGTATCCCCCTCGCGGCTGCTCTGTTGTTGCTGGCCCGTGGACACTGGGCTGTGGTCTGGCGGTCAAGCTCAAGGCCGTTCTGTTGTTTTCTTGTATTGTCTTGTCTGGGAAGCACTGCTCCACGCAGAGGTGGATTCCAGAGGGCCAGGGTGGCTGCTGCTGTGTTCTGGGGGCCTTTATGGGCCTGTGACCAGAGCTGTCCCCAGACCCAGTGTTACAGTTACCTAGGCCCAGTGACTGAGGGGCCTGTCCCAGAGAGGGGTGATGGTTATGCTTGGAGCTAACAGCTGAGACAGAAGGGGCACCAGGGACAGCAGGGGTTTGAAGCGGAAAGAAACGGGATCAAGGGTGGGAGTGAGAGGGTCCGTTTCCTCGGCCACATCTGCGGGGAATTCTGGGATGCTGCCCCCCTTCCTGGATTCTCTTCTGGCCCCGTGCAGGTGTCTGCCTGTAACTGTTGGGGGCGGCCGTTTTACTCGGATCTCACTGGGTATTGGCTCACAGAGGACGACCCTGTCCCCATGGTGGTCCTTCTGACCCACACCCTTCCCTCCAGCTTCTCCTGGGCAGTGGCATGGGGACGGTGCGCCTGTACGACACGGAAGCCAAGAAGAATCTCTGTGAGATCAACATCAACGATGACATGCCCAGGTGACTGACCCACGGCCCCTCCTAGGCAGGGCTGCAGCTGTGGGTCTTACGGCCCTCCTGACCCCACACCCCTCTGACCAGCCCCCTGTGGGTCTTATGGCCCTCCTGACCCCACACCTCTCTGACCAGCCCCCTGTGGGTCACACAGCCCTCCTGACCCCTCACCCAGCCCCTGGGCTGAGTGTGTCCCCTCTGACCGGCTCCCTGGGGGTCACATGGACCTCCTGACCCCTCACCCAGCCCCTGGGCTGAGCATGTCCCCTCTGACCAGCCCACCTGTGGGCCACATGGACCTCCTGACCCCTCACCCAGCCTCTGGACCAAGCACGTCCCCTCTAACCAGCCCACGTGTGGGTCAAACAGCCCTCCTGATGCCTCACCCAGCCCCTGGGCCAAGCACGTCCCCTCTGACCAGCCCACCTCGTTGCAGGATCCTGTCTCTGGCCTGCAGTCCCAGTGGGGCCTCCTTTGTCTGCTCGGCTGCAGCTCCGAGCCTCAGCTCCCAGGTGGACCTGCCGGCACCTGACGTGGGTGGCAGGGGTGTGAACCAGGTCCCGGGCAAGCTGCTGCTGTGGGACACGAAGACCATGAAGCAGCAGGTGAGGCCAGCTTGCACGCTTGCTGTCACGTCCTGGCCACCGGTCCAGTCACTGCTTTCTCCAATGTTGCTGTGTCTGCTTTCTCTTTGATTCTGGGACCACACAGTGACTGTGACCTAGGACCTGTCTGTGGTTTGGAGTTCCTAGAGGATTTTCCAGGGGTCACAGAGTCAAGTATGTGACATGAGTTTATTTCTCGTTTGTTCTGACACCGAAGGTGTGGCCTCAGTAGTCCCATGTTTGTGTGACAGTGTCTCTTCAGAGCCCTCTCTGTCTGGAGACCTGACACCAGCCCCAGGCCCCTGAGCTGTGGTCATCAGAGCGGAAAGCAGGACTCAGGAGAACTGGACACTGCCTCCCTGTCATCCTCAGGGTCAGAGGAGGGTCCCTTTGCCTGTCAGCTCTGTGTGTGTGTGTGTGTGTGTGTGTGTCTTTCTGTCTGTCTTAGTTTACATCAGTTGGTTAGGTCCCCCCGTCTTCTGTGTCACTTACAATGCTGTCCTTGATCTTCGGTGGGCCCTCCGATGTCCTGGAGAAGGCTGTCACACTTGGTAAAGTGGGGGTCAATGGGAGAGAGGAAGCTGTTCAGCAAGGTGGACTGACACACAAAGGGCACCTTCCCAGCATCTGTGAGGACGGACGGAGCGGGCAGTGCTCCGTCTGTTGTGCTGAACCCAGGGTCGCTGTGACGTCTGACCTGACCGCAGCCCCTCACAGCAGCCCCACGCTCTGTGAGCTCGGGGCCTGTGTGCCTCCTTGACTCTGCGTGTCCAGCATTTAGTACAGTAGACGGAGGCATGGAACAGGTGATATTTTGGCCACGTTATAACTTTTCTCTTCTCTTCTCTTCTCTTCTCTTCTCTTCTCTTCTCTTCTCTTCTCTTCTCTTCTCTTCTCTTCTCTTCTCTTCTCTTCTCTTTTTTTAATTAATTTTAATAGACATTTACAGAGGTTATGGATTTCCATTCATTCATTGTAGCCATGTTATAACTTTATGTCACAAGATGTGTAACGTGGGCCTGCTCACTGATAGGTCAGCAGTTCGAATCCACCCGCTGCCTTGTAGACAAAGGTGACAGTCTCCTGTAGGGATTCACAGGCTCAGAACCCCGTGGACGGAGGTGATGAGTCAGAGTCAGCTCGACAGCCGGGCCTCTGGTTGTGTAGCTCCGTGTGTTCTCCAGGCCCTGCCCCGCGTAAGGTCCCCGTGGTGGGATAGGCGTGGGGATGGCACTGCCCTGTGGCTCGGGGTGGCTGTCTCCTCGGGGAACCTGGCTTCTGGTGGAAGGCTCTGTGAGTGACCACAGGCACCGGATACGGATGTGTGAGCTGGAGGTGGCTGTGGTTGGAGGTGGCTGTGGCTGGAGGCCACATGGCCGAGGCCGAGGCCCTGCTGGTGCGGTGGAAGCCACGGTAGAGCCTTGGCTAAGGCTCAGAAGTGCCGCCGCGAAGCTGGCTGCGGGCCTGCGAGCCGAGGCGGTGGGCAGCAGACTACGGTGACCACTGCTCACCACTCTTCCGTTTCCTCACCAGCTTCAGTTCTCCCTGGACCCCGAGCCCATTGCCATCAACTGCACGGCCTTCAACCACAATGGGAACCTGCTGGTCACCGGTGCAGCTGACGGCGTCATCCGGCTGTTTGGTAAGGAGGCTGTGGTGGTGTCCTGACCCTCAGGAGGTCAGAGAGGAGCCAGGATGGCAGAGCTGAGGACTTGTGGCCGCCATAACTGACTTCCTTGTGGTTGGTGCAGGAGGCCTGGGGGTGGAGCTGCAGCCCCTCAGTCCTGCGCTGATCTGGGACCCCAGGGCCCGGGTCAGATCCCTGAGGACACACGAGGAACGCCATCCGGTCCTTGGAGTGTGTCAGGTGGTGGTTCCTAAGAAGGGGTGTGTCCAGAACCACCCTGTGAACTGCTTAGGACCCCCTGTCCTCCACAAACCGGTCCAGTATGGGACGGGGGCTGGGCCTTCGCTGACCCGGGGTCGCCCCTGTGGGAGGACACGGTGCCCTGGACTTGTGAGCTCCTGGTTTATGTCAGGCTCCCCGCGAGCTTCCCCTCCAGAAGCAGAAATAACCGCTCCCGAGGGCGTCCTGGGTTCTCCTTTCCCGTTGGAGGGGTGCGTGTCTCCTGGGGGGGCCAGCTCCTCTGGCAGGTCCTGGGTGGGGTCCGGAGCCGGGCCTGAGTCTGGTTTTACGGGGCAGATATGCAGCAACACGAGTGCGCCATGAGCTGGCGGGCCCACTGCGGGGAGGTCTGCTCTGTGGAGTTCAGCTACGACGAGAACGCTGTGTACAGCATCGGTGAGGATGGCAAGGTGCGTGCAGCGGGCCAAGGTGGGCTTCCCTCCCTGGCCTGAGAGTGCCCGGGGCACAGGCGGGCTGTTGACCCCTGGCCAGGCCAGGGCCTCCTTATGTTAGCTGGAAGATGGGTGGAAACAGCAGTCTCGCAGGGTCCCTTGAGGCTCGGGTGGGCTTTGTGGGGGCTGCTGTCACTCTGGAAGGCAGGCCCACAGACTTCTTGGGGGGGCGGCAAAAGTGACCCCTCACTGTGGCCAGGAGGGAGCAGGTGCCACAGTACAACTGTGCGGAGTGTTTCAGAGGCTGGGGGCAGTTTGTGTTCTTCAAGGGGGCCGACCCTGGTAACAGGATGATGGAGACTATGAGCGGGGTTACCTGTGGAGACTGGGAGCCCCTGCAGAAGTATGTCCCACCAGAGATAAGGGTCGAACTGACGGGAAGTTGTGGGCTCCTTTATTTCCCTAGAAAATGCTTCAGAATTATAGGGATGGGGTCCTTTGGGGGGCAGACCCCCCTGAGAGCGTGTCCTGTGAGGTGGGCCCCCTGAAAGAGTGTCTTATGGGCCCCCTGAGAGCGTGTCCTGTGAGGTGGGCCCCCTGAGAGCGTGTCCTGCCTGTGCTCTGCAGTTCATCAAGTGGGACATCCACAAGAGTGGCCTCAAGGTGTCCGAGGCCTGCCTGCCCCCTGACGCCACAGGCCCCTTCGTGCTGTCCGGGTACAGCGGCTACAAGCAGGTGCAGGCCCCCCGGGGCCGGCTCTTCGCCTTTGACTCGGAGGGTCGCTACATGCTGACTTGCTCTGCAACTGGTGGCGTCATTTACAAGGTAACGGGGCAGGGCTACGGGGCCCTGATGGGAGGCCCAGTGTCCTCACCTCAGCCTGCTGGTCCCACACAAGCACCTGGACCTGCTAGCCATGCAGTAGAGTGCAGAAGCCTGTGGGTGCTAACCCGCGGGCTCCGAACAGCCCAGGTCTGGGGCTGTGGGCTGGCTGTGCTTTGAGGGACCAAGGCTCTGCCCCCCTGGACTTCATTCCTGGGAGGAGAAACATCAGACAGATGGTGTGATGGGCCTGAGGCTGGACAGAGTGGTGGGCACGGGCCGCTGGCACTGCAGGTTGAAGAGAAGAGCAGGCTCTGTCCTCTCGGCCTTTATTTGGGAATTCGTTTCCACTTCCCAATGAAGGGCTAATGGTGGTTGGGAAATGGCAAGCTTTTCCCACTCTGTGGAACTAAACTGGCCTCTGGAAAGATGGACATGTGCCCTGGTTAGAATATACTCAGGCAGAGATGATCTGAAAGTGGGCAGCACCTGGGCATACCTTGGATGGCAGCAGCCCTGGTGCAGCCAGTCAGGAGGCCCCCGGGGGACCTGGTGGGAGTGTGTCGGTGGTGGGCGCTGACCCCTTGTCCTAGTGGACACGGGAGAGTGTGTGTCAGTGGTGGGCGCTGACCCCTTGTCCTAGTGGACACGGGGGAGTGTGTGTCGGTGGTGGGCGCTG